ACATAAACAGAGCGGTGGGTTTGGTTCGAGTGAATTTAGTAATACGTTACGCAAGGCCTTGACCTTTCAACGATTCATGAGCTTTTTTGGAATATCATTGATTTTACGTTAGCAGAAAAGCCATCTTCGCTAAATCCAGGCTAACAGGATCAAACCTTGATGTTGCTGGGATGCGACACAGCAACAATTTACCGCAAAAAAATGTAACAGTTATGAATCATTTTCTTCAAAATCATGTCTAGGGAAATACTAAGTGATGCTTTATGACGATGTGTTCGCCTTAACTGTTAAATATAGAGAAGTAGTAAAGCAAACTGGTTATTTAAGTAATAGTATTTTAGAAAAAACAAACCTAGAAAATTAATGAGATGTTTCGAAAATGATTACTTAATTACACAGTATTTTAGACTGAATATGATTCATTATTCATTAATTGTGCATATGAAAATTAAAAAAAATATAGATTCAACGTAGAATGAAAACTAATTTATGAATACAATGTATGAAATAATGTTAGTTTTATAAATGCTTTATAAGAATAATGATGTCCATAAATGTTATCTTAAACAAAGTGCTCTTTGATTTTTATTAGGTCACCTGAGTAAACTCAGGTGACCTATTGCTATCCGTTGTTGTCCGTCGTCGTGCGTCGTGCGCTGTGCGCCGTGCGTTAACATTTGAACATTTTCAGCTTCTTCTCTGAAACCACTCAACCAATTTCAACCAATTTTGGCACAAAGCATCTATGGGTGAAGAGGAACAAAAATTGTGAATTTCATGGTCCCTGCCCCCCTGGGGCCTGAGGGGTGGGGCCAAAACCACTAAAATTAGTGCAATCTTTAAAAATCTTCTTCTATGCTCCTGGACATCAAGTAGTCAAACTGTTTATTTGATTGTAATCAGCATTGAGTCCTCTACCTAAATTGTGAAATTCATGGCCCCAGGGTCAGGGGTGCAAGTGCTAGGGCGGGGCTAAATAGACTGTATAGTGAAAATGCATTATTTCTTTGAAAATCTTCTTCTCTGCTCCTGGACATTAAATAAGCTAACCAAGTACAAAGTTATGTTAAATAAGATTGCCTCTTTCAAAATTGTGAATTTCATGACCCCAGGGTCAGGGGTTCTGGTGTTGGGGCGGGGCTCTATTGGTTACATAGTGAAAATGCATTAATTCTTTTAAAATCTTCTCCTCTGCACTTGGATATTTTACCAACAAACTATGTACATATTTATAATAAGGAAGGACACTTCTTCCCAATTCATGAATTTCATGGCCCCTGGGTCAGGAGTTTTGGTGTTAGGGCAGGGCTCTATTGGTTATACAGTGAAAATGCATTAATTCTTTGAAAATCTTCTTCTCTGCACCTGGGTATTAAACAAACAAAGTACATAGTTATGATGACCGAGAATGCCTCTTTTAAAATTGTAAATTTAAGCCCATGGGTGAGGGGTTCTGGTATTAGGGCGGGGCTCTTTAATTGTTTATAGAGTGAAAATACATTAATTCTTTAAAAAATCAACTTCTCTTCTCCTGGGTATGAAATAAATTAACCAAGTACATGATTATATTGGATAAGTCTGCCTCTTCCAAAATTGTGAATTTCTTGGCCCCAGGGTCAGGGATTCTGGTGTTAGGGTGGGGCTCTGTTGATTTTAAAGTGAAAATGCATTAATTCTTTAAAAATCTTCTCCTATGCCCCTGGGTATAAAACCAATGAACTATGTACATAGTTAGGATGGGGAAGGATGCTTCTTCCCAATTTGTGAATTTCATGACCCCTGGGTCAGGGGTTCTGGTGTTAGGGTGGGGCTCTATGATAATTATATTGTGAAAACGCATTAATTCTTTGGAAATCTTTTCCTTTGCTCCTTGGTATAATGCAAATGATTTAAGTATATATTTATGATGAAGAAAGGTGCCCCTTCTAAAATGGTTCATTTCAGGGCCCCTGCATCAATGATACTGCAGACGGGGGGGGGGGGGGTTGTTAGGTATAAGTCTGAAAATAATGTAATAGATTAATACTTTTTAAATCTGCTCTTTGATATTAGTCACCCATTTCTGATGAAATGAAATTTATGAAATTTCCAAAATTTTGAAATATGTGGCCCAAGTGTCAGTGGTTCCTCTGGGTTGGTGTGCACAACTGGTGGTTATAAAGTGGAAATGCATTTTCTCTCTGTTACTCTGATCTGCCTTTGGGTATTAAGTAACCAGAATAAGCATGCTAAATGTATAGTTATGATAAACAATGGTGCTTTTTAAAGTTGTGAATTTCAAGGCTTTTGGTTTAAAATAGTCAAACCAAAGTCAGTTCTTGGAAAGTTGTTACAATGATAAAATTGACCAAAATTTTGAAAATATAAACAGGATGTTTCAGAAAATGGTTGCATGTTTTCTTTAACACCCTGTATATCATTGTGCATCACTCATAACGTAATAATAAATTATATCAAATGATAATAAATAATATTCAAAATAAAACTTTATAATCTTTATGTGAACATTACCTCTACAACAGTTTCACGAAATAACTTAAACATTAATTTAAGATTCATAATGATACTGCTAACAAACAAAATTTAGGCTTAAAACATTGCTGCTTTTTTTGTGTTTAAAATTTAACTGTCAAATAATCACAGTTTGATAGTCAGTTGTTGGAAAAAAAGAAGAGTGGAATTAAGATTAAATATGTCAAAAAACTCCCAATAAGAATGTTAGGAAAAAAATTCAGGGAAGGCAAATGGAAGGAAAGTAAGGTGCTATAAAATGAAAAAAAAAACAAATTTAAACCTTCCACAACATTAATACTTTCCACTCTTTAAAAGAATTTATGATACAGCACTTTAATAAGCAAATTTAAATCCATTTCTGAAAAAGAGTCTGCAAATCTCCTCATTTTATGTTTGTTCCCCGATGGCCACACTTTTAAAACCTGAGAATATTTCCATTATCTAAACTAAAAAATGTTTCCATCAAAATCTTTCACCACCGGATCCCTGTCCTGCTAAACTAAACGCCTGTATTGAATGAATGATATTAAACAAGAGTTCACTCACTTTTTTTTACTGTCTCATTTCTTTTATCTACTTATCAGACGCGTAGAAAACAAGTATGCCTAAACTCCCGTTGTGTTATTATCGGACTCCTATAGGTAACTTTTGGACATTTATATGGCAATATTATAAGTAAGATATATGCCACATACTATTCTGTATGCAAAATTATCATAGTTTTTGGCCCTAACGGGCCTCAAACAGTCTGAAAATTTAAAATATAGAACAGTATTTGGCATATATCCATTACTTAATGAGGTGTTTTACAAGTTCCCATGTTGCCTTAATTCACCTTGGAGCGTACGTACGTAGGCGAAATGGGAATACCAAATTTCAAAGTGAAAGCGAAAAAAGAACAAACCTTTATGACATGTGCGCCTTATTGAATGATAAATGGGTGCAGACCGTTACCATGCACATCTATGAATTCTGTATATCATTTCCAGGATTTTTTTTGTTTCTTTTTTAAATAATTTTCTTTATTCCATAATTTTGATTTGTCTTTAATAATTTCGTTTGTTTTTCTTTAATGATTTTGTTTTGTTTTTTTTATTATTTTTTTCTTCTATTTATTTATGGTTTGCATTATTTGACGTCCGTGCAACTACATGTACTCCAGTATGATCTTCAACATAGTAACAACTTTGGTTACATTGTATATGTGCGTGTGAGATACGTATATTTATGTGTCCGTATAAAACATACTTTAAAATATCTGCTTCAGAATTTAGCCAAAAATTTACATCATTAAAGCATATAAAACTAAAATATACAAATGAATTTTTTGAACACACAAAAGCTTCAAGTACAACTTGTTCATAATTTTTTAAAGTTAAGTACGATATGACTATCTAACCCAACAATTTTTTCATAAACACACTGATAGAATACGATGTCTCAACAAATGGCATTCCCTGAAATTCGTAGTACGAAAATACATGTAAATTCAGGATACTGAAAATGAAATAAACACAAAGCGGGTAATGAAAGTAATTTTTTTAAAACCTTCACACTTTCTTTCATTATTTACATGATCGATAAATAAATGTGAATTCCATCGCTGGTACATAAACCTCCATAATGGCTATATAAAGCATTTCCGTGAATTTGATTAAATCTGTGTTCCCGGATGCACACTTTTGTGTTAATGCATTTCAGGATTTCGTTTACTTGACTTTCTACGTTTCGCCTCTAGCCACAATTGCTACGTTTCCTTTGACTAATATAATTATTTCAAACTTTGAAACAAACTTAATTCTTGTGGTTTTCGCTTAATATTCGCATTCTGTATTTAGTTACCAATACAATGTAAAATTGATGAGAAACAACAACAAATTGTTGGAGAAGAAAAATGATAAAACCACATTAATAATATTCACGATCCAGAAAGAAACTCTGATTGTAGCATTTTTTCCCAAAAAATTTATAATACTGATTATAAATGCTTAAAAAGGTTATTTTTTTTTTTACCAAAGGGGATACACATGTGGGTAGTGGTATTTATAAGTATATGTATTGCAATCGTCCTCTTATCAAGGTCCATAATTCCACTTGGCTTTTTCTATTTACAAATGAATCTCTTTGTTTCACATTAAAAACCCCAAAAAGTCGTAAAAGGGGAAAACTATTCAGTTCCTTATTGCTGAATTAAATTTCTTTTCTTGCCAAGGTTAAAAGCAACTATTAATGATCACAATTTTAAAATTTTATGATAGTAATGTTCTTTTATTTTGCCTCGCTAGGAGTTCTGAGGGGTCTGATTTGTATGCTGTTAGGCAGTTTTTTTTTTTTTAGATGGATACGTGGAAATGTTTGTAAATATAAAAAAAAAATCACCATCCCTTTTATTGATAAAGAAAGAACAATATAAGGTGGAAAACCACAAAGTTACAAACCGTATCACTTTAAGCATGAATATAAACATCCATCCGCATGCGTATAAATATACTTTATCAAGTTCTCATTCCAAAAAAATCTTAGGAATATTAAGTTGCAAAATTTGTAATTCGATTGACATCTTTCAAGAAGGAAAAGAAGAAGGTAAGAACATTTTATAAATATGTCATAATAAAGATTACCACAAACATTCAAACAAATCATTTGAAGAACTGAAAATTGCATATAGAAAGAAAAAATTAAATGTGTATTGCTTGCTCTAAAATATAAATGATATAAAAAGAAAATTTGCGAAAAGAAATAACCACATATCTGTTAATTACAGAAAGATATGACGTTTGTGAAAGTGTGTATCTTTATAATTGCTGCCCTCTGGCAATCTAAAGGTAACGTTTCTTCTATATATGTATTTATCAATAGCTAATGAAAATGTGATAAAAATGCGTTGTGATCACGTCATGGAAAAACCCACAATTTTATAACGCTTTTGCAACACACGGAATATGAAAATGATCTTATCAAGAAAAGAGAGTCATCTTTTGTTTTTATTGCAAATATTCAATTTACTACCATCAGTTCGTAATATTTTTCTATAGTCCGCATTCTTTATAAAACAAGAGATGAATACGTATTCATGATAGAATAAATCAATTCATCATATCAATTAACATGTTTGCACTAAATTTGACAGGGATACTTTCCGTTTATTTTATCACGAAATGTTACGATTACATTGATATCATTATCAAATGTTGAATCAAACATTTTGCAAATTTCGAGCAGACAAAAGTGGACCCGTAAGAACATCCATTACAATGAAAAAAAAAATAGGTTCAGTAAGTGAGTTGACTTGCTCTGGTACATGTACAAAGAGTAATCCATAATATTCTATATGAGATATTGGCCTAACAATTTGTACTAATATATCTGTCATCATTCGACCCAAAGAAAGGTTGTACTTGCAACAACCATAGAGTGCCTGAAGCGATTGCTGATACGACTGTAAAATCAACTGATTTGTTAGAAGCCTACCTGGGTTTCAAAATTAATTATAAGAAAGGACACGTTCTTTTCGTTTTTAACAAATTTATATACACAAACACTATAAGTGGTGAATGTAGTATAGACTGCTGTATAAATAAGATGTTGACAATAGAAATATGTTGAAGTGTTCATATTTTGACAAAAAGATGAGTTACTAATTAGATTGATTGATTGATGATTGATTTATTGATTGTTTATTGTTTAACCTCCCTCTGGAGATTTTTTTTCACTCATATGGAGACGTCGCCGTATGACGGTGAAGGGTTTCAAATAAAAAAAAAAACGTCATACGAGACCTACGTTTTCAAGGTCATAATTATCCGAAAGACCCCTGACTTTCATTTCTAGTGCCAAGCGCTTGGCGAAGGAACAGTCACTACCTATGTTACGTCTTAGGTATGACGCAGCGCCGCGAAAGAGAATCGAACTCGGAACAAATTCATAGTCATTTAATTTCAATGTGCTCTCAAAACTTAATCAAAAATAAAATATCTATTTATAAATATATTTACAACTCTTCTGAGATACATTCTGTTCTAAAAATGATATAGTAGACTCGGTAAGCATTGTCAATCCAAAGATTTCAAGGTATCCAAAATGTTGCATATTGACGATAAAAATAAGAAGAATAGATTATGAATGAATTATTTTCTTTTTGATAATAAGGTGGAGATCATTATATTTATTTCATGACTTCTACGATGTAAAATCATTAATAAAACGGTAAGATCATTTTTAGATTAATATATATTCTTAGTTTGATTACACATTGGTTGTGACCGGTCTGCAGGGGATGCTCACTCCTCCATGGCACCTGATCCCACCTCTGATGTTATGGAGGTCCATGTTTGCTCTGCTCCTATTTTGTATTGTTTTATGGACATTTGGTCTTGAATACTATTCTTTATCTCGATATGTTTCATTTGATTAGTATATTTGTCCTTTCAAAGGTAGTTTCGTGGAGGATGTTTCCATTATCGGAGCCGGTATTGGTGGAACCTACACAGGATGGAGACTGAGGAACAAAGGCCTCCGGATTGGTATATACGAATACTCCGATCGTGTTGGAGGCAGGATGTACACGAAGACTTTTCCAGATGCCCCTGATGTTCCCATTGATTTGGGTGCCATGAGGATAAAATCTAAAGAACAATTAAGAATGATTAAAGCCGGTAGAGAATTAGGATTTAAATTTGTACATTTTGTTGAAGAATTGGGACGGATTCCGAACCATACCCTTCTTTACCTGAGAAATACCCACTTGACCATTCCAGAGCTAGTGACCTCAAAAAATCCCTACAGACTCAGATCATGGGAGAGGAAAAATCCATCTGACCTAACAAAGCGAGTATAGCATATCTTTTTATGATAGAATCCTTAATGCTATTTTCAGACATTTGCAAATATGCATGGATTCCAACACAACTTTCAATCATACACTAGTTTTTTTTAAGTATATAGTCGTACAATGGACATTTCTGAATTACTCTGTGCAAAATGCATATAAACATTAATTTTTTAACGTTGCAGATCACTCTCTGAATTATTTACCAACTATAATGGTTCTGAACCAAGAACCGAACTTTTTACTGCTTTCACTCTTAGTGATTGGATGCCTATATATGTACAGAGGTTTGTAACTTTGTATCTTTTGGTTAATATAAACAATTGCAAAATTTCTCTTTTCAAAATAGAGTTTTGTTTCTTATACATTTCACTAAGCGGCAACTAAACTGCTTGTGATTTTAAACATAGAATGACGTCTTCTATTTTTCCAACCTTTTTTCATGCATAATTACAAAAAAAAAAAAAACATGAATCTATATCAACCATTTGGATGTTTATGATCTCGTTTCTAGGGCTATCCAAATAAAAATGCATTCGATAGATTTATGCTTTTTAAAGTTTGATTTTGATTCTCAGAAAAGGTGGTGGAGCAAGGCAATTCACCTTTTGCTCAAGATACAACATGACATAGTGGCTACCAACTATACGTTATTCTTCAAATAAATCATAATACAACTGTAATTTTGGAATCAATGTCATTTTAGTTTTCCAATATTATATGTGCTACTCTAAGTTTTAGGCAAATTTAAGAATTAAGTACGCTAAGACTTCATTCAAAAATACTATTATTCCTTGGAATATATGTTTTCATTATGGAATTATTTACAGCTACAACGAAGTCATTCGAAAAACTGGCATAAGCAATGAGGCTTACAATTATATATTTGACAACGAATTACTCCATTCCGGGCTTCGTAATGGCCAATGCCTTGAGTATTTCCCTAAAACACGAAAGGGATATGAACAGAACACGAATTCCACTGGACTTCCATCCGTGGTTACCATTCCCACAGGAATGGCTTCGTACCCAAAAGAATTTATGAGCCGTTTTTTAGCACAAAACCCAAGAAGGTATATAACATCAATTGTTTACTTTTTAAATATTAAACTTTATCTTATATTACAAACTTGAATCTCCAATACCAAAGGATGTTGCAATATCTGTACAACAAATCATTCAATTGTTGTTCTCGTCAAGATTTTTTTTTATTCATCATTCCCATCTCTGTATGGGTGAACAATTCTCGAATGGGACGTAAATCCAACATCATTTCGTAAGTTTTATGGTCGATACAATGACCTTGTCAGCAAATACAGTTTATCATTAAGTCAAATGCTAACTGACGTTTTTATACTTAATACGAGGGTTGATCCAAAAGTAATGTCACAGTGTCCATATCTTTTATATTTGGCGTCATATTATCAAATATTATATACCAAAAGACGCACAAATATAAATTTAATTAAACTTTAATTTTTCATTCAAAAACGTGTAACTGAATTTATTTTATAGATGTTTAAAATATATAAGATAGGGGGTGTCGCCGCGTCAAAACCGAACGTCACAAATTAAAGTGTACTTTCTTTAGTATAAAAAAGACAAACACTTAAAAAGCATCTTTTAAAAGCGCCTAAACGCAAAATACTTTAAAAGACAAAAAAATTACTTCATTTTCTATTCTTAAATTAAAAATTATATGACATCACTGTTATTTTTTATGAAAAACATTGTTGATTTATTTCGGTGCATTGAAAAAAGGAAATGTCAAAATGGACAAAAAAACCAAAACAAACTGTAATGCATTTTTGCTTCAAAATGGTGAAATCGCGAGTAGAGACAGTTACGTTGATTCACCAGACTTTCAGAGGAAAGAATGTAAATAAGAGACTTGTTTAGATGGTTTCAGCGATTTTCGGTGGGTTATGGGTCATTAAATGCTCAGCAGACGACAAGAAAACCGAAAGATGGGAGGGCGGACGAAAATGTTCATTGGCGTGTGACGTTGTCAAAAAGACAGACGTATATCTAGAACGATATGTGAAATATTAAGTTGGTTTTTTACTACTGTTCAATGAATTTTGACAGAATTAATAATGAAAAGTGTAAGTGTACGATGGGTACTAAGGGTAAGAAAGTGAAATTTGTGAACGTGTTCGTGGATATCAAATCTCAAATATATTTTTTAATGAAACAAAGGGAAGCGTTTAAATGTATGACGGCGCGTATCCGTCATATGACGTTATTTAGCTGCGGCGACTACCTTAATCGCACGTTGTATATAATCCGATATTTTGAAAAGTATAAATCATGTTCAATTGAAATTTTCAGGTCTGATTTGAAATAAATGTTGCTTTCATCATTTTTAATTTTGTTGTTTTACGTCGACGGATAGCAATTTTATCGAAGTTGTGACATTACTTTTGGATCAACCCTCGTATTAGTCTATTATTTATACATTAATTGACGACGGATTTTCCCTTATTTCCCGATCATGACAAGGAGCACACGGCGGGTGTAACCGGTCAGCAGGGGATGTTCACTCCTCCATGACACCTGACCCCACCTCTGATATTTTGGAGATTCTTGTTTTGCTCTGCTCCTTTTTGTAGTGTCTTATGGACTTTGATTTTGAATATTGTTCTTCTCCATATCCTTCTCTTCATGCAATCAATCAATTCAACACTCCCGTGTAAATCTAAATAAAAACTTTAAAGACAAAGAATTTCTGGCAAAAAACAATCATACAAGATGTCAAAATTTCATCTACCTGGTCGTGATTGTTTTATGATGATCATTATGTTAAAAAGAACTTTTCTTCTTCTTCTTTGTTTTGGCTTTCCAAAACACATAGATGCTGTGTGCCAATTTTGGCTAAAATTTGTTTTAACGAACAAGTCAAAATGTGAAGAGTTAAAAGAAATAAAACGTAGAGTAAGAATAAACTTTATGTCAGGAAGGTATACATATAGATGGACTACAGACAAACAAGTGTCGAAAAAAGTTATTTAAACCTTTGGCTCATGTGGGAAATTCGTTTTCTTGATAAGCAAAATTGCAGGCTTAAACTTTAAAGAAATCATCTCAAATAGAACCATGCTCAAAACGAGCAATAAATTAATTGATGGAAAAGACAGGAAAATATTAATTGGATAAGCTAGTTTGTTTTAATTTACCCAAAAGCATGAACATATTCCACCGAAACCTTTAAAATGAGGGGGTACCAGCATCTGAATGAAGATCGACTGCGAAATCAGCGAACTGCTTCATAAATTTGTACATGTGTACTGGTTATTTTTTTAATACCCAGAAGTGTAACCTCTATGATTTAGATGACAAATTCACCAATCAGGTCCGCTCTATGAATATTTATTTGTTTTTACCAAGAATAAGACATTTTCTGATTTTGTAAGACTAAATGAGAATATATAACTTAAAGTTTAACAACTTTTAATTAACAAGTTAAGGGAGTTCGTGTTTGAATTGCTTTATTTTATCACTTCTAATTTCGTAATGTCTTTTTTTAACTTCCAAATTTGCCACTTTTATAAGTCAAAATATTATGTTTTTAACGTGTACATGTATAGATCAACCTCAATTTGCTAAAATAATCATGTTTTAATTTCTTTTGCTCAGTGACAGTACAATTTGATCATATCAGTACTTAGACAATCTGATAAAGCAGACTGGTCACTAATATCAGACTGCAACATGCATATTGTTAGACTACAAGAACAAAGTGATGACATCCTAGCTACGTCGATACGATATATCCTTGTGAGCTTAAGTAAAAGATATCACTGTCTTACACATCTGTTTCTTACTTGGATATTTTACTTGAAAAAGACGTAAATGGTAATCTAACAACCAAGCTTTATGATGAACGTGATGACTTTTCCTTTTTTTATCGTCAACTTCCTTTACTTATGCAGCAATATATCTTCATCACCTCTATACGGAGTGTATTTATCTCAGTTGATTCGATAAGTATGAGCATGCTCTACGTATGAATAATTTCTAAAATGAGGTAAATTATTGACAAGCAAAGTGATGAAACAAGAAAATTATCAGTCTCGTTTAAAGTCTTCATTTCGTAAGTTCTATAGTCGACACAATGACCTTGTCAGCAGCTACATTTTATCATTGATTGTAATGCTGTTAGTTGTTAGTCCATTATCTATACACTGAATTGACGACGGATTTTCCTTATTTCCCGATCAAGACAAGGAGCACACGGCATGTGTAACCGGTCAGCAGGTGATGCACACTCCTCCATCGCACCTGATCCCACCTCTGACGTTTCGGAAATCTGTGTTTTCTCTGCTCCTATATTGTAGTATTTTATGAACTTTGATATTGAATACTGTTCGTTATCTTCATACCCTTCATTCTCTCATATGCATGTGCATATTTGTTTAGTTAAAAATGGTGTCATATTTCGATATTTATGAGCGGTCGATTTGTCTCACCTTGTGGTAATAGAAGTTGAATCAAATAAATCTCACCCTTAACAATTTTAAAAATTATGTTTATTAATCAAATCATCATCATTGTCCTACCTATTGATGACAAATATCATTAACTCTTATTGCAGGCACCACTATCATCCAAATAGCCAACTTATAAAAATATCCAAAGCAAAGAAAGGACTATACATATTAATCTTTAGGAGAACAATAACTATCGATGGCAAAACAATTCCTACAAAGAAATATTTTAAAGTCCTATCACGTAATGTTATACTGGCCTTACCAAAGGTACCAATACAGCAGATTCAGATGCCAAACGCAAACAATCCTGTTTTCCAGTCGGCACTTAACTCCGTAAATGATGTACAAGCTTCAAAGATTTTCCTTGTGTACGATTACCCTTGGTGGCTCCAGGAGCGCTTCAATTTCACATTTACCCAATCTGATCTTCCGTATAGACAATCATTCCACTGGGGTATATCTCGTAATGGCAAAGCTGTTTTTCTCCTGTCGTATGCTGATGTTGAAGATGCCGCGTTTTGGAGTCTTCTTCAACAGAGAGGAAAGGTCATCAGTAAAAGAAATGACGATACTCGGGTAACGGATGAGGTAATTAGACACGCACACGATCAGATTTCGAAAGTTTACAAGATTGGCTACAGAAATATTCCTGCTCCTGTGGACGGCATGATGCATGTTTGGAACAAGTATCCTTTTAATGGAGGATGGGTGACTTGGAGACCCAGATCCAGATGGTATGACATCAAAAATTACCTGACAGCGCCATTTTCTCAAGACAAGATATTTATAGTCCACGGTTACTGGGGAGCTGAACATAATGGATGGGCTGAGAGTTCGTTGGAGGCCGCAGATGATGTTTTGACTCACTTTGGTGAACCATCTTATCTTTCTTTCAACGTATAAAGGAACATAAACGAAAACATCGAATTTTATGTCATATATTGTATATAATATTTTTGAGACTTATTGCATTTCTTGATTTATCTTAACTTTTTTCATATACAACGGCTCTCCGTAAAGTTCGTGTACAAGCTAAATTTTAAATCAAAATGGTGTCCTTGATAAAATTATATTCAATTTCAAATATATAATGGCAATTATTGCTTCAAAATCAGACTTGGGACGGTGACCCTGAGCACCGCAAAATTTTAATTAAAAATCATGTATCACTTTATAAATTTCCTTTATATTTTGTAAAATATCGTGCAAATTCGTATTGCTTTTATATAAAAGCTGTAACTTAAAACCTGAAAATTTTGAACGTTCAGAGTTAAGAAAAGGCCGAGATATTGAGGTGAGAATCTTTTACGACAGGATTGTCATTGTTCGAAAAAGGTAAGAAACGTTGTGAGTCGTGTAATTTTAAGGTATTATGATCTAAAAATAAAGTTTTGATGCAAAAGGAAATCATGATCTACCTGCACAATTGTTGATTTCATGAATTATATAAAATTAATTTGTTTATATTTTTTTCAAGTAGTACATAGTGTATTAATGTTCTTCTGCAAAGACAGAATATAACTACATATTAAGATACTTAATAAATTTAATACAATAAAAAGTAGTTTTATACGATAATAAATATATTCCAACAGTATAACATTCATATAAAAGCACTTACACACAGAAATCCCATAGATACTGGGAAACATTCATGCAAAATATTTTTAAATGACAATTTATGCCAATTTTTAACATTAAAAAATATGTTCTAATGCAATGAAAAGAATTTCGACCTCCATCACTCCTTAATTCTTTTCAGTCTATTAACTACATCTCGGTTCTAGATGGGGGGAATTTGTTAATAAATGTAAACGATTATAAGAGTAAATTACTGCGCAGGTACATTAACCTAGGTAATGAAACCACAAAAACATTTAACAAATCAGTTTACGTTTGTGATTCCGGATGTGTAATTAAATAGCAATGCATTTAAGGAAACTCCCGAAAACATTACGATTTTTAAAATCCTTATCAATATCTGACTGACATAATGCCATTGTATTACTCTGCACTATTGAAAAAACCAATTTTCTATAAAATTAAATTAGCTTAAAGAGTTCTAGGAAATCTGATAAAATGATATGGAGTTTTAAATAGATCCATCACTAGTTTCATATATAACTGAAAATGAAATTTTGTCTTTTTAAAAGTTCCGATGCTTTCAATTTTATTAGATTAATCGTTGCTTTCAAGCAGGTTTGGCAAAGTAAAAATTGGACCTACAGAAAGTGTAGTTTTTCTTCAAAAAATTGGGGAAATCAGTGATTTTTAATATTGTCATAAATATATATTTCTTTTCTTCTTATTCCCCGTATATTTTGCTTACACATTAATGCATTTTTGTGATACATATTTTATGTCAAGAGTTGTGTAAAGGTTATTTATCATTGAAACATTTTCAAAAACAAAACCAATAAGTAGCCATATATCTCAAATACTATCGGATAGGAAAGATAGCCCTTTTGCTCCCATTTTTATTTAAAAATCGACATTTCAACATACAAGGGGAAAGTTATATCTTTATAACGTTTTATGCCCAAGCTTCTATTGTTTTCAATCAATTCATTGTTGCCAACAGGAGGTTTATTATTTGATTTACTCAATTTCCCATTCCTCATAATATTTATATTCATTTAAACAGACGCAATAATTTTACTTCAACACGAACCATATGTTTTAAGTTTTTCTTCTTTCTTTTATTATTTCTTATTAAATGTATGGTTACTTGATAATTGGATGCCAAATTAAATTGCATAAATTTGATTTAAACTAAAAATCTTCTTAAACCCCATGTCGTAATCAAAGCTGAGGAATGTAACATTTTCAGAATCATTTTAGTTTTAATTTGTTTAACAAATTATAAATATGAAATATAAATTATGTGTTCAATTTGTTTTGTAAAGTTCAAAACACCAAGGTATTTGCCATGTACACATTCTTTTTGTCATGGTTGTTTATGTTCCTACATCGTAAGCTCCTGTAAATCTACTGAATCGAGTTCGGGTTTTTTATAATTCCATTATGTCGTGAATATATTCCAAATAATGGTTCGTTGGATAAACCCGAGCAATTGGCAGGGCTTTTTCCAGTTAATGAAATCTTAGAAAAAATGATAGAGAAACTAAACCAAGGATTGTGTGATGCTTGCTTACGAGACAATGAAGAGGTAAATAGCACCCATTATTGTTTATCATGATTAGATTGTTTATGCGATTTGTGTACAAAATAGCATAGAAAACAATTGATGTTGAAAAAACATGAAGTGTACAAGATTACAGATATGAATTCTGGATATTACGACAATTATCTATGGCCAATTATAAACGATGGTACATGTATTACATGTGTAATAACGCTTAGATATATATTAAGTTTATGTTCAACATTAAGAAAAGAGCTATCTCCTTGAATTGGGTATCCATAGAAAGAACCTTGAAACATTCATGCATACATGTAATTCAAATTAGTTACTTTACGTGTTTTACTACTCAAATACCAGAAACAATGAAATAGAAGAAGGATATGGAGATAACGAACAGTATTCAATCTCAACGTCCATTAAACAATATACAAAATAAGAGCAGAGCAAACACGGATCTCCGAAACATCAGAGGTGGATCAGGTGCCATGGAGGAGTGAGCATCCCCTGCCGACCGGTCACACCCGCCGTGTGCTCGTTGTCATGATCAGGAAATAACGGAAAAAAATCCGTCGTCATTTCAGTGTATAAATAATGGACTAACAATTGGTATGAAAAACGTCAGTCAGCATTTGACTCAATGATAAATTGTAGCTGCTGACAAGGTCATTGTATCGACCATAGAATTTACGAAATGATGACTTTAAACGAGACTGTTGATATTCTTGTTTCATCAACTTGCTTGTCAATAATTTACCTCGTTTAAGAAATTGTTCATACGTAGAGCACGCTCTTGCGTATCGAATCAACTGAGATATATATACTCCGTAAGCAGGTGATGAAGGTATATTGCTGCATAAGTAAGGGAAGTTGACGATAGAAAAGTTAAAGTCATCACGTTTATCATATAGCTTGGTTGTTAGATTACCATTAGTGTCTTTTTTCAAGTAAAATATCCAAGTATGAAGCAAATTTGTCGGACTCTGTGGTATCTTTTATCTCAAGCTCATCAGGATATATCGTATCGACGTAGGAATGGAAATTATCATTATCAATTGACAATACGTCGTCGATATATCTGAATGTCGAGTTGAAGGCCACAGCAAGTGTTTTCTTCTTAAAGGGTTGGGAAATGGATAAAATGTGCAGATTAGTTTGATAATGTTCTTAGAATTAGGGATTAAAAGGTAGTTTATTGACCAATGCAAAAAAGTGGAGAAATTCTCCCAAAAAGTGCGCAAAAAATATTGCGCCTTAAATTGCACTTTTTTTGCATTACAGCATCTGTAGCGTTATGGTCAAAGACAAATATATAAAACCATAACGCTACAGATTTGCAGCTATAGAACCCTAAACATAACTATGTACTTGCTTAGTTTATTTAATACCCAGGAGCAGAGAAGAAGATTTTCAAAGAAAAAATGTATTTTCACTACATAATTTATATCTATCCCCGTCCAAGCACTAGAACCCTAATCCCAGGGCCATGAATTTCAGAATTTAGGTATAAGCCCTTATGCTGATTGCAATCATGCAAGCAGTTTCAATCCTTGATGTCCAGGAGTAAAGAAAGGGATTTTTAAAGATTGCATTAATTTTTGTGGTTTTGGCCCCCCCTTTCAGGCCGGGGGGGGGGGGGGCATGAAAGTCACAATTTTTGTTTCCCTTCAGTCGAAGATGCTTTATGGGTTGTGTGGTTGCAGAGAAGAAGCTGAAATGATAATAAAAAGCTGTTAACATTAAATTTCAAATTTTAATATACACTCATATAAGTCTTGTTTAAAAAGTAATATATAGATATTGATTGATATCAATTTCAATGACTTAATCATTTCCCTTATCCTATTTACCAGTATAAAGTTATGTTAAGAAATTATAATCAAACGTATCACAAGCTAATTGTAAAAGTTTTGTAGCATGAAGTAACATAAATATATGATGAAATAAAATAGAATAACACCAAAGAGTCTTTAGCATTCTGGTTCGTCACTTATCACAATGGTTAACAAGCTAACACAAATAACAGATTTGGGACATCAATGTCACCATATACCAATGAAGGGCCTATAGAAATGTTGACTTTTACTCACCAGTCAGAGCCATTGAGCATTAAGGAATCTTTATCTTGCAACGCCTGCTGTGACACGGGATCTCGTTTTTTAAGGTCTCATTCGAAGGACCCACAACAATTACTTCAACGTGGAGAGGGGATAATGAAGAAACAGTTGCTACCTATATCTTTTATTTACATTCAGTCAGCCGATTTACTTATATTCAATGAATTTATTGTTTTAAGTCATTTCAGATCAAAAGAATTCAAAAACGTGTATCAAATCATGCATCAAATTTTGGTTTATCTTAAGAGCCCTTAAATATTTTCCTCTATATATGTCATCCTTTATGGGGAACTTTGCCACTTTTGATATCTTCTAAAAGATAGAATTTGCACTTTTTGAGTTTGTTGGTCTTCTGTTGCTTTTTTTTTTACATGCATTGTTGTCCCGCTTTAAAAAAAAATTTGTCCTACACTGTCATTACATGTACTTGTAAAGCCACACCCTTATTAGATATCTACACAGCACAACCTAACATATTTTAGTTTTATTAGCTACATTTAAAAAATATTACTTGAAATGTCTTCATATACTTTCCAAATAATTCTATCTGCGGGTGCTGGGATCATTCAAAATTCTTATTACTTTCACATGTCATGAAAACATAGTAAGCAAACTTCAGAAATTTTGTCGCCTTCATTTATAATTTTTTTTCTGATTGATAAATGCATATTTCTATTCAACTATTCAAGTCCAAATATTAGTCTATAACAGAATAAACCAACATGAAAATTTATCATTACAATTAAAAAAGAGGCCAAGCGGCCACATAGCTCACCTGAGCACATTGGCTAGGAAAAGGCACAAATCAGATCAGAATTGAAAAATATACTGAAAGGGGAGGACGGTTGAAATTTAATACTACTTGAGAAAAAAAAAATTAAAAGCTTTTGCTTGTATATATTAATTCGTAATAATATAAACTTGATTCTCCATTGTTTCCCTGCCTATCTCAAAGGGTCATGATTTGAACATAATTAACTCTTCAATACATGAGGACGCTTACATGTTAAAATGACTAAACACGGCTTTTCTGTTCTTGGGATTTTGCCCTTTATTTTCTTATGTAAAACTTTTATCCAACATTTAACCCCACACTTACCCATCGGGTTATAATTTGAACAAATTTAATACTACACTGAAGTTGCTTCAAAATAAATATCACTAATCATGACTTGCTATTCGTGAGAAGAAGATTTCAAAATACATTTAA